GCCTGGTCCAGAAGGGCTCCAGCCAGGTTCAGAGAGAAGGCTCCAGCCTGGCCTACAGGGGTTCCGGGGTTTACAATGAACGTTCCGTCTCCCAGAAACGTCTTCAACGATCGTTTAACGAATCCGCAACGAAGACTGTCTGGTTAGGAATTTAAGGAAGCCGTAACAAAGAGTGCCCTGGTTAACAAGCCTTGCTGGCTTCATTTCAGTTAATATGGCTGCTTGTTGGTGTTCGTTACTTCTCTTCTCTTTCTCATTCTCATATCCGACACAGAGACATCAATCATAGCCTTGTGGTCATCCTCTGCAGATAATAGTAGAATCTGATGAGAGTGTCATCCATAGAAGTCACAGCCAGCCTCCAAGTTGATATAAACCAAATCTTTCAGTGGACCACTGACAACAATATCGTGTTCACTAAGGACAAACTTCAGTTTGTCCTTAGTGTGTGTGGGGGGGAGAAGGAAACATTGAGGAACTCAAGACTGCAATATAGGTTTTATAACACAAACAGAAAGATCTTACAAACTGCATCTTGCACTCAGTCTGCACCACTGCCCTCAGGGTCCCGGTCTCAGACCAGTCTGCACCACTGTCCTCAGGGTCCCGGTGTCAGACCAGTCTACACCACTGTCCTCAGGGTCCCGGTCTCAGACCAGTCTGCACCACTGTCCTCAGGGTCCCGGTGTCAGACCAGTCTACACCACTGCCCTCAGGGTCCCGGTCTCAGACCAGTCTGCACCACTGTCCTCAGGGTCCCGGTGTCAGACCAGTCTACACCACTGTCCTCAGGGTCCTGGTCTCAGACCAGTCTGCACCACTGTCCTCAGGGTCCCGGTGTCAGACCAGTCTACACCACTGTCCTCAGGGTCCTGGTCTCAGACCAGTCTGCACCACTGTCCTCAGGGTCCCGGTGTCAGACCAGTCTACACCACTGTCCTCAGGGTCCTGGTCTCAGACCAGTCTGCACCACTGTCCTCAGGGTCCCGGTGTCAGACCAGTCTACACCACTGCCCTCAGGGTCCCGGTCTCAGACCAGTCTACACCACTGTCCTCAGGGTCCCGGTCTCAGACCAGTCTACACCACTGCCCTCAGGGTCCCGGTCTCAGACCAGTCTACACCACTGCCCTCAGGGTCCCGGTCTCAGCAGACCAGTCTGCACCACTGTCCTCAGGGTCCCGGTCTCAGACCAGTCTACACCACTGCCCTCAGGGTCCCGGTCTCAGACCAGTCTACACCACTGCCCTCAGGGTCCTGGTCTCAGACCAGTCCGCACCACTGCCCTCAGGGTCCCGGTCTCAGACCAGTCTACACCACTGCCCTCAGGGTCCCGGTCTCAGACCAGTCTGCACCACTGCCCTCAGGGTCCCGGTCTCAGACCAGTCTGCACCACTGTCCTCAGGGTCCCGGTGTCAGACCAGTCTACACCACTGCCCTCAGGGTCCCGGTCTCAGACCAGTCTACACCATTGCCCTCGGGGTCCCGGTCTCAGACCAGTCTGCACCACTGTCCTCAGGGTCCCGGTCTCAGACCAGTCTACACCACTGCCCTCAGGGTCCCGGTCTCAGACCAGTCTGCACCACTGCCCTCAGGGTCCCGGTCTCAGACCAGTCTACACCACTGCCCTCAGGGTCCCGGTCTCAGCAGACCAGTCTGCACCACTGTCCTCAGGGTCCCGGTGTCAGACCAGTCTACACCACTGCCCTCAGGGTCCCGGTCTCAGACCAGTCTACACCACTGCCCTCAGGGTCCCGGTCTCAGACCAGTCTGCACCACTGTCCTCAGGGTCCCGGTCTCAGACCAGTCTGCACCACTGCCCTCAGGGTCCCGGTCTCAGACCAGTCTCCTGGTTGACAGTGTGATCTGTCAGTCACATCAGTAACGGTCTATAGGATCTTATCAGGTTTCTTCTTGAAGGCACTAAAGGAATGGTCCGTAATTCCCCCTTTCATTTGAGAAGAGGGCATTGAAAAGCTCTTTGACCATCTTTTCCTCTCTTATCTGTCAAACCTTTTCAGTATTTTGGACGTCGTTGTCATATTTCCTCTAGTGCTCTTTCCTAAAGTAAAAGGCACCAGAATTAGTTCCTTTAGTCTCTCTCCTAACACTGTGTTCCTCTCAGGTCTGGGACCTGTTCTGGTCACCCAGTACACTTGCATGGGCGTGTGTAAGGGAGAGAGTGAGAGAGAGTAAGAGTATGCACCAAATGATGTTATTGTTATTAATAAAGATACCATGTGTGTGTCAGGTGTCCACCAGTCACTGGCTGTGTCACTCTACAACCCCTGCGTCAGGAGGCCTCGTCTTCTTCCTGACACAGGAAGCACCTTCACCACCTCTTCTAACACGTGTTGTGGTTGTTACAGCTCGCACGGGGGACATGTCCATGGGACGCAACCTGAGAGCCGCCCGATGCCTCGACTTCACTGACAAAGACGACGATGATGGACTGTACCAGCCCTCAGACTCCGACACAGAGGCGGCTACTAAGAAGAAAGGGTAAGTAACTTCTTTGTTTACTTACATCTTGGGAAAGCCAACCCATCTTACCACAACTGTACTATTACTACTACTACTACTACTACTACTACTACTACTACTACTACTACTGCTGCTGCTGCTGCTGCTGCTGCTGCTGCTGCTACATATACTCGTTTCTCAGTTATCTCTGTACTAGGACTGAAGAAGTCATTCTGGGCGAAACGTTTCCTCTAATAAATGTCCTGAACTGTAAATAAGTGCACCTTTCCACACCTTGCTGATACACACAGCAAAGGTACTGTAGACCTTTATCGACGCGACCTTTTTCTATAAGCACTGATAAAGGTCTCCTCTTCACTCTGTCTTGTGTATCAATAAATTGTACCTGGAGAGTGTTCCAGGGGTCAGCGCCCCCGTGACCAGGCCTCCTGGTTAGAATAAGAGAAGAAAGAGGAGAAGGAGGAGTAGAAGAGGAGAGAAGCGAGAAGACCCTTGAAGAAGAGAAGGATAAAGGAGGGAGGAAGTGGGAAAGGTAGAGAGAGATGAGAGAAGACAAGAGGAACGAGGTGAGGGACAAGGGAACATAGGGGGAGAGGACAAGAGGAATAGAGAGAGAGAGAAGAATGGGATGCAGCGTCACAGGGAGGGAGTAAGTTGAAAGAGTGAGCAGTGTATCTAGGGAGGATAGAAGGAGTAACACAAGAGGGAGCAGTGTATCTAGCGAGGATAGAAGGAGTAACACAAGAGGGAGCAGTGTATCTAGCGAGGATAGAAGGAGTAACACAAGAGGGGCAGTGTATCTAGGGAGGATAGAAGGAGTAACACAAGAGGGAGCAGTGTATCTAGCGAGGATAGAAGGAGTAACACAAGAGGGAGCAGTGTATCTAGCGAGGATAGAAGGAGTAACACAAGAGGGAGCAGTGTATCTAGGGAGGATAGAAGGAGTAACACAAGAGGGAGCAGTGTATCTAGGGAGGATAGAAGGAAGTAACACAAGGGAGGAGCAGTGTATCTAGGGAGGATAGAAGGAGTAACACAAGAGGGAGCAGTGTATCTAGGGAGGATAGAAGGAGTTACACAAGAGGGAGCAGTATATCTAGGGAGGATATAAGGAGTAACACAAGAGGGAGCAGTGTATCTAGGGAGGATAGAAGGAGTAACACAAGAGGGAGCAGTGTATCTAGGGAGGATAGAAGGAGTAACACAAGAGGGAGCAGTGTATCTAGGGAGGATATAAGGAGTAACACAAGAGGGAGCAGTGTATCTAGGGAGGATAGAAGGAGTAACACAAGAGGGAGCAGTATATCTAGGGAGGATAGAAGGAGTAACACAAGAGGGAGCATGGTATCTAGGGAGGATAGAAGGAGTAACACAAGAGGGAGCAGTGTATCTAGGGAGGATAGAAGGAGTTACACAAGAGGGAGCAAGTGTATCTAGGAGGGATGAAGAAGGAGTAACACAAGAGGGAGCATGGTATCTAGGGAGGATAGAAGGAGTAACACAAGAGGGAGCAGTGTATCTAGGGAGGATAGAAGGAGTTACACAAGAGGAGCAGTATATCTAGGGAGGAATAAGGAGTAACACAAGAGGGAGCAGTGTATCTAGGGAGGATAGAAGGAGTAACACAAGAGGGAGCAGTGTATCTAGGGAGGATAGAAGGAGTTACACAAGAGGGAGCAGTATATCTAGGGAGGATATAAGGAGTAACACAAGAGGGAGCAGTGTATCTAGGGAGGATAGAAGGAGTAACACAAGAGGGAGCAGTTGTATCTAGGGAGGATAGAAGAGTTACACAAGAGGGAGCAGTATATCTAGGGAGGATATAAGGAGTAACACAAGAGGGAGCAGTGTATCTAGGGAGGATAGAAGGAGTAACACAAGAGGGAGCAGTGTATCTAGGGAGGATAGAAGGAGTAACACAAGAGGAAGCAGTGTATCTAGGGAGGATAGAAGGAGTAACACAAGAGGGAGCAATGTATCTAGGGAGGATAGAGGGAGTGGTCAGCTGGGTGTGGCAGTAACTCCCTTTCACCATCTTCCCTCAAGGTCACTGGGAGGGAGGGCTGAGGAGGTGGCACTATCCTTCTTCTATATTTACATCACGCTGAGTCTCCTGCCGAGCTGCAGCTCCCGGACCTCCTCTTAATTTTATGATCTGATCTAACGCAGTGGTAGTACTTGCAGACTAAGAGTTACCTACCTGCCTTCCTGGAGGTAGGTAGGGATACCTACCTGCCTTCCTGGAGTTAGGTAGGTATACCATAACTCGCCACATCATAAGTCATCAAAGAGTGATGAGACGACAAACTGTAAACTTTGCTGTACATCACAAACTAGATAACACAAACAGTATGGTTGTACAACTGGAAGATCATGTGTGTCACAAGTGCTGGATAACTCTGACGGAATTTCAGAGGCGTTGCAAGAACACCATAACACAGATGTGATATACACGGATTTTGTGACGTGTTTGATAAGTGCGATCACGAGGCGATTGTACACACAGTGAGGACCATAGACATAGCTGGGAAGGTAGGCAGATGGATTTTTAATTTAGGTAGGTTTGGTAAGGTTTGTTAGGGAACAGGACAAGTGTTTCCAGACGCGGGTCGTAGTATAATGACCCGCATCTGGAGCTTTTGGTCATCTGACCGAAGCCTTCCACTGGCTTACCCCTCCATCACTTAAAAAATTATGGTTATGATTTTCAACCTTATGACAAACAGCATACAAAGAGTAGTAGTAAACAGAGCAAAATCCAGCAACAGCGAGGTAAAAAGCTGAGTACCCTAAGGTACTGTGCTGGCACCTCTGCTGTTTCTTACCCTCACAGCAGACATGGACAAAACACCCATCAGTTTTGTGTTATTATTTACAGATGACATTAAATTAAACATGAAGATTACCTCAGTAGAAGACACTGAAAATCACTGGAAGATATAAGCAGTTTTCCAGTGGACTTTGGAGAAACACATGCGCCATGGGCACAATAAGAGAACATTGTATCAACATCCGTTGTCCCAGACTATTCAGCATCTTATCAGAAGATATCAGAAACACTGATGAACTGGACAAGCATTTCCAGGTGCCAGATGAACCAAGCTGTGCTAGATGTCTGGGTCAGCGGGCCACCACCAGCAACAGCCTAGTTGACCAGGTAAACACCAGTCGAACCTGGCCCAAGGCCTGGCTCTGGGAGTAGAAAAACTCTCGGGGCTCATCAAAGGTATATCTTAGATAAGTAGGAATACCTGTCTACCTTCCTGAAGGTAGATAGGTCAGTAGATATCCCTGGAGTCCTGGTGTAGGATCGGTCCACCGGGTCACGGGGGCAGGTGGTGCAACAAACTTAATGTTTTCTTTTAGTACACTAAAAGAAAACAATAAGTGTCAGGGAACCAAGACTGTTCCAACAGCCTCCCACCAGCCATAAGGGGACTTGCCAATAGACGCGTGGTTGTCTTCAAGAGGGAGCTGGACAGGTACCTAAAGTCAGTGCCGGATCAGCCAGGTTATGGTTCGTACGTTGGACTATGGGGGGCCAGCAGTAATAGCATGGTTGATCAGGCCCTGATCCACCAGAAAGTCTGGTCATGCACCGGGCCGCGGGGGCGTTGACTCCCGGAATTCTCTCCAGGTAGACTCCAGATAGATCCCAGGCAGGTGTGTGAACTGGTACTCCCCCTTATGCATGAAGGGAGGGTGTTGAAGAGCCATGGTCCCATAACACTTACTGAGTTGCCTCTCAGTTTACTCATCTCTCCTCTGCTTGTCACTGGAGGTATCCTGCACTGTCTGTCAAGCCTCTTGTGTTTATAAGTAATGATTTCAGTGTGCAGGTTTGGTACCTATCTTTCCAGTGTCTTCTAGGTGTCATAGAGTAAGTGATACTTGTAGTGGATGTGGTTGTGTTGGAGATGGTGATGGAGGTGGTGGTAGTGGTGGTGGTAGTGGGCGGGACTCATCCCTGGAGGCTGACAGTGGGTGGAGAAAAATGTCAGAGGGGGTCGGTTGGTGGGTTGATGAATGGTGGTAGTGGTGGTGGTAGTAGTAGTAGTGGTAGTAGTGGTGGTGGTAGTAGTAGTGGTGGTGGTGGTAGTAGTAGTAGTGGTGGTGGTAGTAGTAGTAGTGGTGGTGGTAGTAGTAGTGGTGGTGGTGGTAGTAGTAGTAGTGGTGGTGGTAGTAGTAGTAGTGGTGGTGATAGTAGTAGTGGTGGTGGTGGTAGTAGTAGTGGTGGTGGTGGTGGTAGTAGTAGTAGTAGTGGTGGTGATAGTAGTAGTGGTGGTGGTAGCAGTATTGGTGGTGGTAGTAGTAGTGGTGGTGGTAGTAGTAGTGGTGGTGGTAGTAGTAGTAGTGGTGGTGATAGTAGTAGTGATGGTGGTGGTAGCAGTATTGGTGGTGGTAGTAGTAGTGGTGGGGTGGTAGTAGTAGTGGTGGAGGTGGTGAAGGTAGTGGTGGTGGTGGTGAAGGTAGTAGTGGTGGTGGTGGTGAAGGTAGTGGTGGTGGTGGTAGAGATACTAATGAGAGATAGAGATCCTAGTGAGAGATATATTAACTACCAGCAAATATGAACCTACTCTCTCTCTCTCTCTCTCTCTCTCTCTCTCTCTACTCTCTCTCTCATCTCTCATTCTCTTCTCTCTTCCTCTCCTCTCACACACACACACACTGGGTGGTGGGAGGGTCGTCGTGGGGGGTACCAGATTAAGAGACAATCCAAGAATAACCCGGGGGGCGTAGCTCCCTCCTAGATTCCCCACATCTACGTCACCTTCCTTCTCCTCCTCCTCTCCTCCTCCCCTCCCCTCTTTGTTTTCTTATACTTCCTCTTCGTATTACTTTTATTCTCATCATTCTCTCTCTCTCCTTTCTACCCCTCTCTCTCTCTCCTCCTCTCTCCTCTCTCTCTCTCTCTTTCTCTCTTCTCCCCTCTCTCTCTCTTTCTCTCTTCTCTCTCTCTCTCTCTCTCTCTCTCTCTCTCTCTCACTCTCTCCTCTCTCTTCTCTCTCTCTTTCTCT